CTTTCCCTCTTTTTCTTTGTTTCTGAATTCAGCCTTGTCTGGAAGTGGAGAGGTAAATGAGGTTCTGGGTTTTGATTTAGCTTTCCATGAAGACCTTTCTTTTCTTAATGTGCCAATTTTAATTTTTGTGGTTTAAAAGAAAAAAAAATTAAAATATATCCCAAAGTCTTTTCTTCTATATGCCAGTCAGCAAAGGCTTTCCTGAGGGATTGAAAGTCTCATGATCTTTCAAGTTCAGGCATGGGACATAAGTCACAAAGCCTGACACCAGCCTTGAGCTCTCCTGCTGTTACGTCTCCTGTTCACGTACATGAGTTGTCACCTTCCTGCTCCCCACCTGGGAAGTAACCAGTTACCTGGCCCACAGTCCACCCCTCCACTGTGCCTGGCCACAGGACTGGGCATGGTCTGGAGCACGAGGTAGTGTCTCCGCTGTGCCTGGGAGCTTGTTCTTTAATTGTAACCCTGTATTTGAGCTGAGCTTTGTAGAAGGCCAAGCTTGCAATTGCAACTCTTGAACCATGTCTTGCACAATTTGAGTCTCAAAGTGTTTTATGTCACAGGGGAAACCTTGTGTTCAGTTCAGGAGTAGTTTGGGATCTACTGACCTAGTGAAAGCTGACCCATGAGTGCACAGGGATGATAATAGTTTGAGATGACCTGGTTTTAAATCAGTGGTCTCAGAATTTGTTTTAGGCACTGTACCAACTAGTAAGAGTGGATTTGCTATGGTAACAGTGTCAAGATTGTGCCTAGAAATACCTCCCATCCACATAGTGCCTGGGTGACCATTCAGAGCATCTTTGCCTCTCCAGCTGCGGTCTCAACCTCTGCATCCAGCACAGATGTGGAAAGCTGTGATTGCCCTGAACAAAACACTGTACGTTTTAGCTCTATCTGGGATTTTGTAGGTGAAAATATGGGAGCCATAGGTGCCGGTGCTGTATTTCTATCTATGCCCCTTTTAGAAGGCACACCATTAATTTTTAGCAAAACATAGGTTAACCCACACCACCTGTAGCAAGGCAAAGATTGCAAAACCTTTCAGGAAGACTTTATATGCTTTCATGTCCCTCCCTCCAAGCTTGCAAAGTGAGGAGGACAGCACAACTCTGGCTTAGTGCCATAGAAAATGTAAAAATTTGGGGGAATAATTTGGGATTAAAACACCAAAGCATTGGTAAGTAAATATTAACAATATTAAACTGTGGAGTCATGCATGGGATCTTTAATCTTGTTTTCCCTTTTGTATCTGTTTCTATAAACTCATAAAAAGATCAATATAAGAGGGTTTTCCTGTTCAAAATCCTCTCCTCTGAAAGGGTAACTGCTCTGTAGCAGATCTACAGACCTCATATGTAAAATACTTACAGGTCATTTTAAGCAGACACATGGCACACTTCTGCTTTATGGATTTCCTCTCCTTACAGTTAATCCACAACATCCCGTTCACACATTTTCTTTCTCCTTTTTTTGCCTTATGGACTGAGATCTTATTTCATGTTACTCATTATGGACTGGTTCAAGGTTTAGTGGTGAAACTTGTGTTGCCTTTAATAGAGCCAGGCTGCAGCTCTATGCATGTTCCAGTATATTTACAGTGGCTGTCATCAAGAATTAGCCTTGAGAGATTTGCAGTGACATTGTTTCCCAAAAGCCAACATGTTTTTTTACTGAACTAACCATCCAGAGCTGTGCAATAATAATGAGTGAGGTCAAAAGTTCCCAACTTCCTCTCATGCTGGAGGCCTGTTGAAAAGTAGAGAAAATCACTACATACGTTAAAAAGCGATGCAAAATTGCTTTTCCTTTGTTACTCAACTGTGGTTTGTAAAGCCTGTGTTAAAGAAATATAAACTGCAGTTTGGGAGAAGAAGATATATATATTGTATATATGCAAAGTGTGTATTTTTGCACTGTCTTTCAGAGGTGGTGTTCAAGGCAGCTAGGTGAGGTGCTGACCACAGGGTAGTTCCTAGATGCTTCTTTTGCAAAACCTGGGTTTGCCAGTGGGGAGAGATTAAATTTTGCAGTAATTTTTGGAAGCACACAAGGAATACCTGTGTGCTTCCATATAAACCCAGTGGTGGGTTCACCCTGGCTGGACACTAGGTGCCCACCAGAGCCAGTCCATCACTTCCCCTTTGCAGCTGGACAGGGGAGAGAAAATACCACGAAGGGCTCACAGGTCAAGATAAGAGCAGGGGGAGATCACTCAGCAATTACTGTCATGGGCAAAGCAGAATAAACTTGGGGAAATCAGTTTAACTTATTACCAATCAGGGTAGGGTAATGAGAAATAAACCCAAATCTTAAACACCTTCCTGCTACCCCGACTTCCTCCTGGGCTTAACTTCACTCCTAATTTTCTCTACCTCCTCACCCCCAGCAGTGCAGGGGGACGGGGAATGGGGGTTGTGGTCAGTTAATCACACATCATCTCTACTGCTACTTACTCCTCAGGGGAGGACTCCTCACACTCTTCCCCTGCTCTAGTGTTGGGTTCCTCCCACAGGAGACAGTCCTCCATGGACTTCTCCAACGTGGGTCCTTCCCACAGGCTGTAGTATTCCATGATCTGCTTCATGAAGCCTGAGTCCCTTCCACGGAGTGCATCCTTCAGGACCAGGCTGCTCCAGTGTGGGCTTCCCATAGGGTCACAGCCTCCTTTGGGTATCCCCCTGCTCTGACATGGGGTCCTTCCTGGGCTGCAGGTGGATATCTGCTCTCCATGGACCTCCATGGGCTGCAGGGGCACAGCCTGCCTCATAGAATCATAGAATAATTAGGGTTGGAAAGGACCTTAAGATCATCTAGTTCCAACCCCCATCATCATGGTCTGCACCACAGGCTGCAGTGGAATCTCTGCTCCAGCACCTGGAGCACCTCCTCCCTTCCTTCTGCACTAACCTTGGTGTCTGCAGAGCTGTTCCTCTGTCATTCTAAACTCCGTTTTGAAAAGCATCTTAGACTGGAAGTTTTAAGACAGCTTTTATGGCATCACATTATGTTACTTACATAGCACATCCTTACAGTGAGTTCTCAGCAAAATAGAACGATGCTAAGTGAGATGGATTCCTCGGCTTGTTTAGGGAATGCAAAATGTAATCCCATAGAAATTTCACTGTAATTTTCTGTGATTACTCGCTGCTTTCATTAAGTTATTTCCTGGTTTGACATTTTTTATATGTCTCTGCTCTAAACTTAGCTCTAAACTTCAACCTTTATGTTACTACAAAAATAGATTCATTAGCAAAGCCTCCCTCAGGTGCGTAACATTAAAATAAATAGTAGGTTATCTAAGGTACTAAGCAAATGCATGCTGACAGGCTTCTTACCCCTTCACCGAAGTTCTCTGTGAAGACAGCCCTAAATTTGTCATCTTCAGCATGAAACATTCATCTCACAGGTCCACCATCAGGTCCCTGGCTGTGCCATGGGGTGGGGAGGGAGGATCCATTTGCAGGTAAAGCAAAGAGCTCTGCATCACTTTAAGAAAGCAAACACTTACTGTGGCATTCTTGTAGGTAAGGAGAAAAACAGCCAGAAGCAATCATTAAAGATGCCATATTCCCTCTTTTATTAAGGCACTAGCCTTGTCCTGACCTTGACTTTATGGGAAGGGTTTCTGAAGCTCGTCAAAGATTAGGGAAATGTATTAGTCACCAACATCCTAAAATTTTTCTGTAACAAAGAGGAATGTCAAGTACTGATTTGTAGTAAAATGTGTGCTCTCCTCATCCCGTTTTCTTTCTTGTGTTTGTCTTTTCACTTCAGCAAGACCTGTGGGATTAACAAGCATGCTAAGCTGGAAGGGACAGCTACATGTGGGTTTTAATTTTTCCAGGTCTTTCGTTTTTTTAATGCTCCCTGTAAAGATACTTTTAGTGACAAAATACAAAAAAAGAAGTTAGCAATGTCATCCTGATTGAGGAGCTTTTCCATGTGTGTGCTCATTGTCACTCTTCTTTCCAGGAATGCTACCAATCCTTGCAGAAATGTCTTTTCCACCTCTCTATGTTTCCCACTTTTTAATAGTTCTGCACATCCCATGACTTATAGAAGAGCTGAAACAGGCATCACTGCTTTCCTCTCACACTTACCCACCTATCATTGAGTTCCTTTGTGAGGAGCATGTCTTGCTCTTGCACTGGAGAGCTGAAACACTGAGGAAACGGTAGTTTATCACTCGTAATGTCTGCTCAAGTAGGCTGAGATATTGTTAGCAAAAGCTTTATCTGCATTTTTTTGCTGCTTTAATGCAAACTCAAAAAGGTATTTTGGCTAAAGTGGTTTTGCAGAGGTAGCTTTTGCCAGTTCATCAGTTAGCCACACAGGTAAAAGCATGACTGGTTTCAGGGGAACATGAAGCTATAGCCGGATGCCAGGCTTGTAGCTGGGTCAGTTAAAAGAAACAATAAAACCCCGAGCTTTGTGTCTCTCCCTGTCCTCGCTGTGCCAGTGACACTTCAAATGTAGGCTTGGAGGAGAGAAAAAGCACTTTGGCAGCCAGAGACTGTTCTCCTTTCTGGATGTCAAATATGTTACAGGCAGTAAGTACAGGCTTCTTAAAAGGATCTCAAAGCTCCTTTGAGAAACTTAAAAATAGGAGTTGCTGCAAGTTGTCTTTTGTAATGTTAATATCTGAAGCTGCAGGAAAAAAATCTTCTCTCACCAGAGCTCAACCCCAGCGCCTGTTTCCTGTTCGCGTTACTCTGCCTGCGCAGGGCAAGCGTGTTGCTGCTCCCACGTATCTGGTCTGGGGATCAGAGAGGAGACAGCACTTGATACGGGATGGGAAGTAATCAAAGCAGCACAGTGAATCGGAGTTGTTCTGATGCTCCTGACACCGTCTCTGAAATGAAAAGTGTGTTAATACACAGCAAGCTGTTCAGTCTCCTCAAACCTTACACAACCATATCATGGTGTTAGAGCTGAAGTGTGAGC